GAATACTGCTTAAAATTTCATTAGTTAAGGTGTCCCCCAGTGGCACAGTGGTATGTCTGCGGACTTACAATGCTAAAATCCTGGTTTCGATACACGTGGTGGGCAGAGCACAGATAGCCCATTGTATAGCTTTGTGCTTAATTACAAACAAACACACATTATTAGTAAATATTGAAAAAAGTAGAATTTAGAAACCCAGCCGTCTCATCATCATCAGAAAATAATTTTCCTTTTTATTCCTTAAAGGCCCTACTCCAATCATAACATTTTGCTTACCCTTAATGTATTATAAAAAATATTTGCTGTTTATTCATATATTTTCTACCAAAATTTTTATTATAGTATTTTTGACTTCCTAATATTCTGTTTGACAAACTCTTGATCTACAATCTAGTAAGTCTCCTAGCATAGCGGTCAATTTTAATATTTAAATTATGATGTTTTTATTTGATTTTATTCACTATACCCTTGTTGTAGGTACCTCGTCTTTACTTGCAAACACCTTTTTTCCATAAGGAGCATGGCTACCTTGAATGTTTATAAACCTGTTTCTAAGCATTTTCCACATTTAATAAATATCTGCAATCAATTAAGTTATCCAATTTGCAACAGATAATTTTTGTAGCATCACTTAAATTTTTTAAATTTCTAAACAAAATTTCATTATTCCTGATCTTCATATACTGTAAAACATCAAACTTAATTGAGCAATGATCACTTGCACCCACATATTCCTCAGTCTTCACCTTCTCAGCCATTTCTGTATTAGAAGTTAACAATGAATCTAAAATAGCATTGTTCATGGCAGATTTTCTGAGCAATTGGTGTAAAAAACCGTCCTAAAATATTTCTACAAACAAGTTTCTGTCATGGTTTGATTCTTAACATTTCACAATCTATGTGCCTGAAATTAAAATACTGTTGCGTATCTGCTTGTTTGTTAATTTCCGGTAGAAATTATTTCCGAGGAACTTCGGCGATACACGTCCTTTCTTGATTAAACCAGTTTATTCATTCTTTCGATACAACTTTTAGTAATACACAGAATTTCCACAGTCACTTTAAACTTAATAACCTTTATAACACACATTATAAATCACAATGATTCCCACACTTTACTAATGGTGCCTACTGTTCGCTTGACTCAATTATCTATCTCTTCAGTCCATCTATCTATCTTTTCAATCAATCTATATCTCTTCAATATATCTGCCGATCGCGCTGGTTTTTCTCACCAAGCTTATATATTAAAAAAAGGGCCTCTCGAATGCACTCGGGCCTTCATGATCCTTCGAGAAACTCCGGCGCGCATGCTCCCAGCATCGCGTGACTTTCGCTATCGCAACAATACCCCCAAATTATAACTCTATTAACAACTGAAATAATAATCTCATTATACAGTTTCTCATTAATTTCATCTAGTGGACTGTAATAGATTCCAACTAAAAGCCTTCGTTTCTATACACTAAAATAAACTCTATGTTTACATTTACTTTACAAGTTATATCATTAATTGACTTCAAAATCCATTTTTATAACTATAACAATGCATGTTCTCCTTCTGTACATGTTTTTCTATTATTCAAAAATACCCCAAAATTCATCAGTAAATGGCTTGATATCACCATAAAGCTTACAATCATTATCATGACTCCCTTCCTTCAACTTTTCAAGAAAAGTCTTAATGCCTCTTTGCATTACTGAGTGCTGCACTCGTCCTCTTTTGGCAATAGAGGTATTGAGTATAATCAAGATCAGTTATTTGGTTCTTTGGTGAAACTTTTACTTCCAATGGATTCTCCATCACAGTTATATTTCACTGTAGAACAATAAAGACTTATTTCTACAACTAAAGTGAGTACATCATATATGCTTTGTTTTACACAATCATGCAGCATTTTTGAAGGCATGTCAATGCTTTTATCTTTTATTATCAACTACACTGGAAACAATATCAATCATATATCAACACAAATATAATGGTGTGTTGGAACATAATGACCGAGCTTTTGAATATTTTCAAAACCTGAATAAGTCGTTTCTTATGCATCTTATATGATGTTTTTGACAGTAAATGCAACTCTTTTTATAACAGCACCACAATATAAAATATTAACATTGAGTGTATAATTGGTTACAATTTACAGCTTACAATCCACATCTCCATGTCTGGTCATATTCTGTCTGAAAACTGTGCATGTTGACAATAGCCCTGCAGCGTATTTTCCATTGCAAAAGATTCCGTGGTAACGGCAGTCGATATAAAGTCGAGATGCGACAACTTTTGGCATTTTGTAGGTAGTGTAATGCCACCAAACACTGATCACTTTTGGGAAAAGGATTTAAAGACTTTTGTAATACAAAATGATCGTACACTAAGACAGTAAATATGGGTTAATATTGGAGATTTTGAGTTTTCAAGATGGGGATATCCCATGTACTTAAAGTCATTGGAATACAAAAAAAATATGGATCAACTTGGGGAACCAGTACGATCCAGAAAGAAACCTGTAACAAGTTGTCCCTCTGCCATGGTAAACAAAGTGCGGCAACCACGAACACAAAGATCAGTGCCAAAAGCCATCCATGTGTTCCAGACAACCGTACACAACACATCCATAAAGAATTTGCATCTGGAAAAATGATAAAAATCACACAATTTTCTTCCACGAAATATCTATTTAATTGAAGCAGCTGGAGGATGAAACGGGAAATCGTGATATTTCATAGGAAAACATGATGGTCAAGTCAACAAATGTAGCGTTTATGGATTTCTGTGTGATATCTCATGAAAGACATGCAGTGAGTAATGGTATGCTTTTGACATTAAAGCTTAAAGACAAAGTATTTTTCAAATGTAACTACGTTACAGGGCTATTGCCAAGAAGCACATCCATCAGACAGAAAATGTTTGGACGTTGAGACATGGACTTTAACGACAAGGTGAGACTCCAAAAATGCTTTAAAATAATATATTCAACTTCTGTACATGTGTGTATGTAGCATTCCAAGAATAAACCAAGTGCACATTTACCTAATCTTCGGAAGAGGTTCACAGATCTAGTATTGGGAATAACAGATGTTATGCTTTATTACAACTGGAATGAGACAAGAACTGGTGTAAAGATGAACGAAACAAACTCTGTTTCAACTAAAGAAACACACGAACTGCACATTGGTTAATCATTGTAGTAGGAAGGATTAATGCACTGTTGTAGATTATGTTAAAAGAAATAAACAATATGTAAATTAAGAGTTAATAAAATATGTGTTTGTTATGAAAGAGGGATGGAAACAAACTCTACTTGAAATAAATGACAAATGCAGCAATTTTTTTAAATGAAAGATTGAATATACACAATGACAGAAATGAAAATAAAACGTTTGGAAAAGTTAGAAACAAAGACGAGACTTTACCAGCAATTCTTAACTCTTTCAAGATAGGCACGAATCTGGTTAAAAATATCCAAACTGCTCTCACGATCCACATTTTCTTTATAGTGGACTAAACACAAAATTAGTTTAAACCTGGATAAATGATAATAAAGGATAAAGTGACATGTTTAAATTAAAACTTTATCTAGTTATATTTTGTGCAACGTTTCGAGCAGACCCTTTTCGTCGGGTAATAAAGATCGCAACAAGCCATTTTTGCTTCATGTGATAGTAATAAAGTAGTCCCACATACACAAGGTAATGTAGGATACAATATAGCTGTCTCTCGACACAAAAGCAGCTATAGCCTTCTTAAGTAAATCCTGCCATAGAAAAAAAAGCTTTAACGTTGAATTAACACTCAGTATCGAATCGATTGAATATATTGTGTTCTGAATTAGAATTTTGTTGAAAATTTTAAATATACATTATACATAAGAGAGTGAGGTATGTATTTCTGGATTACTACTTTTTGAAAAAAGGTAACTTGTAATTAATTTTAGATGGTGGTTAATAACTGTATTTCCCTCAACAAGTTTAGCTAGATTTCTGACAGAGAATGATAAAGCTTCAGGGTGAAATATTAACAAATTATAATATTACATTTATCTGTGACTTCCTTTTTTGAACACAGAGAACATTCTTAGCAATCATTTACAGATTTCTATTGTCTGTAATAAAAGCTTCTCGGTAGTTCAGCGATAAGTCTGGTGTTCATAACGCTAAAAATTGGGTTTCGATACACGTGGTGGGCACAGCACAGCGAGACCGTAGGAAGCGGTAACGCCAGTCGGGTCATAGCCTAACCACTTTTCCATGGCAAGTATAGCTACAACTTATGTATAAAAGCTTGCTTCTTTTAATTCAATACCTTACGTTGTGTGTATACAGTATTTGTAGTTCAAATGGCTCAATATTCAATCTCATATAGCATTAAAATTTCAAACATTTCCTGGGGTCATGCTCCCAGACCCTCCCTAGAAATGGCAATGTGGCAGTGACCTGGCCCCTCAAAAGTTGCTTCCTATGGAAATGCACAGACAGCCAACTTGCGTAGCTGTGTAATTAATAACAAACAAACAACTTATAACAAAAGTTTCAGTCGTCTGTAATTTTGCATAAATGTTTGATCATAAAGTGTTTTAGAACAGAAGATAACAAAATTACAACATAGTTTACCTAGTAAAGGTTGTTTGTTTATTGTTAAGCTCAAATCAACACAATGTACATTCTGTGCTCCGTCCACTGCTGGTATCGAAACCTACTTTTTGTGTTATAAGCTCACAGAAGCGATATAATAACCTTATATTACAAATTCTTATGTTTTGCTTAAATGTTCAATTCTATTTGTTGACTCCTAAAATCTATATTTCTACAACTTACTTTAACATGCTTTAACAAATATTTTTGCACATGAAATAGATATTTGATGTCGATGAATCCAATTTAAAAATAATCAAGCTTAGGAACGGCTAAAATGGGTAACAAAGCTGTTTCCAATCTTTACTCCACAATTAAAATAGTTCGTCCTGAGATACTTCCAAATTGCAGAGGGCACTAGTCATGATTCATAATATGATTTATTGATGAGTGAGGAACTTGTATAGTAATATTAGTAAACCAAGAACCTGAAGAGAATTTTCAACAAAAATCGAGATTGGAAAAAATGTGTGTTGTAACTTATAGTTATACTGTTATAGTTGTAGAAAATAAGGAAGTTCGAAAAGTTATATGTTGACTAGAAATTGTATAATACTGTGAGTTATACTAATTTATACAATTTACAAGCCTATTATATATTACTTGTTAGTATTTGTACTCGGTTTCGAGTTAATCTATTAGTATTTTAATATTGTTATTAAACATTAATGTACAGAGTATTGTACTGTACATATAGATTCCAGACGGTTTATAGTAGATCTCGTTATTACTAATACAAATAGTAGTATTTAGTAATTCTGTATAGTATTAGTAGTAATAATAGTATCAGTAATAAGCCTAAGATATGTTTGAGTGAGGATGACGTAACGTATTAACTATTGGTTATTGATGTAGTAAAAAGGAAAACGAAATATACTACTGAGCATTTTCCTTAAATTTTAAAAGTTAAATGAACCAAACTGTTTCATGTGTTAGCACTACTATTAATTATTAAATTTTGAAAATCTACATGATTTTCTTTTAAATTTTATTCCTAAAAGTTAACATTAGTACATTCAAAGTTCAACTTCAAGATGATCTATGAAATTCTGTTGAAAATTAATGTAATGCATTACTGGTATAGCAGCAATTTCCATTGTTTGATACAAATATGAAAAAGTCTAGTAAGAATTTATGTGAAGCATAAAATAAGCCACAATTTTAATCCTTTTATCTTATATAAAAAATTTTGTTTTAGAAAAATACTCTTACAAATTACAAAAGTAAGTTGTTGTTTTTTTTTTATGAAGAAAATTCCATTGAAATCTTTAAGAATTATAGATCAACTTGAAAATTTTTATTGCAAAATTTTTTGAATAGATTCATTTATGCATTTCAACGAAAAAATAGTTTTTTGTAAATATTTTTGTAACACATAAGGAGTTCTGTTGAACTTCAATGGTATTGGATGTTTTTTGATGAACTGATAGTGTAGTTTTTACAAGATATACACTACAGAATACTAAAAAGTGCCATTTTATTGAGTAATAGAATCGGAAAATACCAACAGATGGTGCATTCTTAGTAAAAAATTCATCATAGTCTCCGTAACTGTCAATTGACAGACAAAATGTGCCAACTTTTGACCGGCTAAATAATGTCATGGGTAAATTAAACAATAACAAATTACTCCAATAATTGTTTATATTGATAATGTGTTATGAGACTGAATAAATATACTTGTAAGGCGGTAGTGCAAAGATCAGTCGAGTGGCTTATTTCATCTAAGTTTAAACTTTGCCAGCTTGTATGAAAACTGGTGCTCTTGTATATGCCTGATCTAAGCATAACTTGCAAATTGAAAAGTTGTATAGTCGTTGGGTGCAATTTTTGCTTCTTTAGTTCTTTAACAAACCATAAAATCTAAGGACAGCAAGGGACATGCTGGTCCATCTTGGACATCCCATTCACAACACTAAACATAACAAGAAATAAAAAACATACATACTCAAAACTAGCTCTTATCATCAAATTTTTTATCAAATTTTCCTTTAAATTGGCTTAAATTCACTGAATCCATCACATCTGAGGTCAACCCATTACAAAGGCCAACAACCCTGTCATAGAAACTAAAACTGTCTTAAAAGCTCAAGATGATTCCTAAATTGCTAATACTTACAATTGTGTTCCTCAATCCTACCATTCTTTTCCCTTAACAATCTTAAATACCTCAGTCATATCTCCTCTAATTCTGTTGTTTTTCTCAACAGTAAACATTTTCAGAGAGAACCCCTCCATCCCAGATATCATCCTTGTATCCCTCCTCTGAACTATTTTCAACAATTCAATGTCCTTCCTAAGGTAAAAAGTCCAAGACTGAACAAAATAGTCCAAATGAGATCTAAACAATAACTACAAAAAAAAATTATAACCTCCTTAGACTTGTACTCAAGATTTCTGTAGACACAACTTAAAATCCTACATGCACTGTTCGGTTGTCTTAACAGGCTGATGAATCAGAATGCCAAGATCATTTTCTTCCATATCACTATTAAGATTATTCCCATCACAATTAAACTTATAATTCACAGTAATAATAAGTGAGTTTGAGTGCACTTTTTAGTGCTTGTTGCCCACCTCACCACAAATAAAATTTAAAGTTTATCACTATTTTGACTAACAATTAGATGCATGAGATTGACAGTCTTTATATTTATCATATTTGTTCTTAAAAGCATTCACCGACAGAATATTTCTATCATGATTGACTATTTAATTCCATTACAACTCTGTGTGTATAGAAATTTCTTCTTATTTCCTTATTACAATGTTTTTTGTGTATTTATGCTGGGTCCCTTAGATTCATTATAAATAATTTTTCAGCATTTATATTTTCAAATCCCTTGATAATCTTAAAGGGGATCAACTATAGCCCAACTCACCCCATAATCAAAAACAATCATTGCATGGTCACTCTTTCCTGAGGGTTCCATAATATTTAGATTATATATTTCTACACAGTTTTTTGTTATCACTAAATCCAGCAGGCTTGGAATATTACTTCCCTGAGCTTGTGGTTTATTAAAAGTCTCCAACAATCAATAAGTGTTCACAATTTAAAGACATCACTTTGTAAATCTACTCAAAGTAAGTTATCATTATCCAAACCAAAGACTGACCACTCTAGAACTTAAGTCAGCCACAGAGTCACATCAAACAAGAGATTACTCAAGTAATCATTTAGCTCAAAGTTAGTATTATGTTTCATATATATAAATAATCCCCCCTTAATTTGGTGCTATGTTTCCCCATCATTGTATATCCATTTATGTTAAGTTGACTATCTTCTACATCATCAGTCAGCCAGGTTTCATTAATTGCAGTTATATCTGGTTTTTCATTTCTTATTCATATCTCTAATTCATTCATCATTTAATAGACATTCAGCATTAGTGTACCAGCATCTTATGTTACTTTCTTTAACTGTACTACTACAAGCTAGTAATGCAGAGTTGGAACTTATTAGTTTTTTTTATATCCAAAGGCTTTTATGCACTTATACTAGCCTTACTTTTGACCATCTTATTGTTTCTAATCCCTATATTTGTTTTTCTTTTTTTGTCTCTCATTTCATTTCTTTGTTGTTTCATAGGAAGATCAGAAACAATAAACACCTTCTTACATTCATTTTTGATAAGTTTGGCAGCATTAAGAATTGGGTGTTTTGTCTTTGGTTCCAAAAGCTTTATGCAGATGGGTCTGGGCCTAAAATTGAAATCATTCTTTTTCTTATCTGTTCTAAGTATTTTCTAAATTGGATCAGCTTTTATCTCCAAGTCTGGAGATATAGCTTCATGTAAGCCACATATTTGATTTAAGTCATAACCCACTCTAGTTTGATTATTTACATCATCTGGGGATTCTTTAATACCAAATATCACAATATTGGATTTCTTTTTCTCTCTCTCTCAAAGTATTCATTTAAATGCTCATCTACTTTATTCTCAACTGTTTTTTCTAGATCTTTAAATTTTCTAATAGCTGGTAGGATTTTACCATCACAAGTTTCACAAAACCATCTTACCTTATCTTTAAGAAAATTACAGTAATCTTTAATATTAGATGTAGGACTAGGCCCATCCCTAGCTGGTACTCCTCCAATCTTGCTGCTGTCTTGATGACAAGAGTCCATTAGTTAGTTGAGCCTTTTTTTGTTTCATCCATTACACTTCACCATTTTCTAAATGTTCAAATCCCAACTAAATTAACTAAAAATAAAATAACATAAAACAACAACTCTAGACATTAAACGCATTGAAATAATAATTATCTAACCCACATGCATTACCTTGCATTTATTATAATTAAAAACCATCTGCTGTTTGATTGCCCAACTTGTCAAGTAATCTAAATCATTTTCTAAAGCACCAAGTTCCTCCTCACAGCCAGCAACACACAATACCTTAATATCAGCAAATGATAAGTAATTTATTGATCATTCCTTCATCTGTGTCATTGATGTAAATCAAAAGGACTTGACACTGAGCCCTTAGGTATCCCTCTTGTGACATTAATTCAGTTTGATTGCATTCCATTTATAACAACCTTCTGCTTACTTCCATCATTTACTATCCAGTGAGCCAAATTATCCACACCACACCTATATAGATAATTTTTTCGTAATAATCCCTTTATGTGGCACCTTGTCAAATGCTTTCCGAAAACCCAGATACACCAAATCCACACTCTTACCCTAATCTACATAAGCAGTAACATCTTCAAAGAACATCCAGAGTTCAGTAAGGCAAGACTATCCCATAGTGAAACCATGTTTTCTATCCAACAAAGTTTTGAACTTTGTTAAATGAATTTGCAAAGCATCTTTTATCACTCAAAACTTTTCCCACCACTGATATTAGACTAAACGGCTTATAATTACTGAGACAGTATTTATCAACTTCCAATTTTTTTACAACTGTCCACCATTCAAGGACTTTTAAAAAATAATATTAGCTAGGAGCTCACTTGTCCAATCCTTAACCTCCTTCAAACCTTTTGCGAAATCTCATCTGGCTTCTCAATATTTTCTTAACAAACTCAGAATTAATGTTATCTTATTTCTGTCTAGCAACTGTTCAGGATGAGGAATACTGATTAAAACTTCATTAGTAAAAATTGAAAAAAAAAGTAGAATTTAGTCATTCAGCCCTCTCATGATCATCAGAAAAGAATTCTCCTTTTTATCCCCCAAAGTCCCTACTCCAATCCTAACATTTTGCTTACCTTTAATGTATTTAAAGAAATCTTTGCTATTATTTCATATATTTTCAACCAACATTTTTTCATATAGCATTATTGATTTCCTAATATTCTGTTTGACGAACTCTTGATCTACAATCTTGTAAGTCTCCTATCATAGCAGCCAATTTAAATTCTTAAATTTATTATGCTTTTCTTTGAATTTATTCACTATACCCTTGTTGACCAACCTGGTCTTTACTTGCAAACACTTTTTTTCTATAAGGAGCATGGCTACCTTAAATATTTATAAATTTATTTTTAAACATCTTCCACATTTAACAGACTTAAAATAAGACCCAAAACTCGAGTGCTTTTGAACAGTTGACTATTCTTCTTCAGAAAGACAAAGAAGAATAGTCAACTATTCGAAAGCACTCAAGTTTTGGGTCTTATTTTAAGTCTACTACACTTTATATGTGATCCTTTGTGCTAACTCTTTCATCAAAATTCCACATTTAATAAATTTCTGCAATCAATTCAGTTACTCAATTAGCAACAAATAATTCTTGTAGCATCACTTCAAATATATTTTATATTTGTAAACAAAATCTCATTATTCATGTTCTCCATATGCAGTAAAACATCAAACTTAATTGAGCAATAATCGCTTTCACCCACATGTTCCTCAGTCTCCACCTTCTCAGCCATTTCTGTATTAGAAGTTAACAACAAATCTAAAATAGCATTGTTTATGGTAGGTTTTCTGACCAATTGGTGAAAATAACCATCCTGAAAGATTTCTAAAAAGAAGTTTTCATCATGGTTTGATCTTAATATTTCACAATCTATATGCCTGAAATTAAAGTACCCCCAAATTATAACTCTATTAACAACTGAAATAATAATGTCATTATACAGTTTCTCATCAATTTCATCTAGTAGACTGTAATAGATTCCAACTAAAAGCCCTCGTTTCTATACACTAACATAAATTCTAGGTTTAAATTTACTTTACAAATTATATTGTTAATTGACTTCAAAATCCATTTTTATAACTATAACAGTGCATGTTCTCCTTCTGTACATTTTCTAACATTCCAAAAATAACCCCAAAATCTTTAAAGAGCAGTGTGTCAGATATATATGGTTTGAGATATAGAGCATCAGTGCAAGTTTTAAAAATTGTATTTTGAAATGTAATATCCCAGGCCTAGTCATTGCCATCACCAAACGGTAGTTGTGAAATAGCTGAATTATTAAATTTATTGATATAATTACCTTTACCCATTGATTAGTTCACATGAAACATTACAACTAAATAGATTAATATTACAAAAATATTCATTTGTTTTTGATTATTCAAACTATCCAATAATCAAAATATTTCCATTACAAAATTTCATTTTTGTTTCCAGTACTGTGTAATTAACTAGTGTCAAAACTCAAAAATAATCGACTAATTGATTATTTTCTGATTATTTACTGTTTTCTATTATTCCAGTATCCAAGTAATTGAAATATTGCCATTATATTTGTTGTTAAGCACAAAGCTATACAATGAGCTGTCTGTGCTCTACCCACCATGGGTATCAAAACGTTATCTGCAGCATTTTTAATGTTTTTTTTTAGCCATCATGTGAGAATAACTGATTAATGGATTAGCAAATTCCACTAATTGTCCAGCTCTTGCTCATTAATGTTGGTGTTTATTATTGTCAACAATTTAAATAATTTTATAACCATGTTACTTCCAGAGTAAAATACAAAAATACAAATTTATTAACCACAGTACTATTATTAGTTAAGTTTCATGAATCAAAGCTTGGCCAGGAATTTTTGTAACTAAACATCTAAAATGTGAATGTGTAAAAGAAAAATTAATGTTGTCAGTATCAAATCGGACAATATAATAATGAATTAGGAATAAACAAAATGAAATCCTAATTTGTAAACATTACATAAAAATAGTTAACAATATTAAACTGTTTGAAGAACATCAAATCTCAAACAATAATAATAAAATATCTGATAAACTTATCAATTCAAATGATATACAAATGTATCTTATGTATTACTCAATCTAACTGCTTTTGCAAATCTCATTTGTTTTCAGAGTAGATGATACTTTTATTTACTTGCCAGACCATGATATTACCTATTACATGACTAACAAATTAGCATTTGTTTTAAATAATCATACATGAAGTTGGTAACTATGCTTCATCTCTAGGGGAAACTCATTACAGATCTAATGTTTAATATACTGACATGGAGACAAATGTACTAGCGTTTTAAGGCAAAAATATAACTAAACTAGATGATAGAAGGAAAAATTACATAAATGATAAAACTGTAATTAAAAATATAATATAAATCACTATCTCACAACATCTTTGTATTTATAAATTAATTGTTTTCTGTGTCTTAAAGAAGTAGTTGGTGGAAAGGCCAGTGGGGCAAAGTATTACTGATGCCCCCCAAACTTCCTCCCAAAGTAATAATATTTATGGTTAATATGGAGCAACTGAAATATGTAAAGCCTATTAAGCTTCACTGTCTTATTAATCAAATATAATGAATGAGCAAGAAGGGTTCATGTTTTTAAAAAAATACTAAAATATTTTATTCTAATATATTCTAAGTTGTGAAAACTGTGAAGTAAAACGTGGGCCTATGGTATTCTACCACTAAGGAAGGTCAAAATAGATTAAAAATATATTACCAGACTGTTTTTCCAGGGTTTTAAATGTTGAAGAATTACTAATATTATTCCCACTTTTAAAAGGCATGATAAAGAATTCTCCAGGAAATTATTGGCCAGTTAGTCTTACTTCTGTAGTGGAAAAAGTCTAAGAGAGGGATAAAAGAAGCTTTGTAAATACAGTTAATGAAATGTAAAAGAGAACCAAAATGGATTCACTGAAAGGAAATATTGCTTTTATTAATCTTTTGTCTTCTTTTCTTTTTTTATTATGTAATTTCTTTATTTGGATGACAGAAAGGTGTAGATTTGGTACACTTAGATTTTCTAAAGCCTGTTGACAATTAGTTAAAAATGAATCACATCGATGAGTGTTGAGGAAAGATTAGATAATCAGATTGGATGGATGAGAAAAAACAGTTATTAATGAAGTCCAGTAAAACTGGACGCTTGTCCTAGTATTTTATCTTAGGGTTAGTATTTAGGTCTTTGCTTTTTCTTATATTAATGTCATTGATAGGGACATAATTAGTAATATTTACAGATTATATTACTCTTTAGGTATTTCATAATGACTTAGATAAACTGGTTAGTTGCAGAAATATTTGGCAAATTATCTTTTATAGTAAATTTGTGTTAATGCATTTGGGTTACTATAATTTTGATCACGTATTTGATATAGATGTGAACCCATTAAGTAGCATGACTAAAGAAAAGGATCTTGAAAATTCTGTTGGTAAACCATTCAAGGTATCAAGTCAGTGCTCTGTTGCTAGTAGTAAAACTAAAAAACATTTAGTAAGAATTTAAATTATAGATGTTGATTACAAATCAAAAAAGGTAATTCTCTTTACATAAATCACAAATTAGGCCTCACTTGGAATATGGTGTACAGTTTTAGTCATCTTATCTAAGAAAGGATATTGACTTATTGGAAAGGGTTCGACAGACGGCTACTGTAATTATTTCAGGAATACAAAGATTATCTTATGGAAATAGTTTAAGATCCCTTAGTTTATTTTCTCTTGAGAAAAGAAAGAAGAGTTGATCATATTGATGTTTGCAAGTGTTTAGAGGATTGATAGGATAAAGGCCTCAAATTTCTTTGTACTGAATTATTAAGACAATAGAATGAGAGGATGCAAACTTAAGATTTGAAAATACAAGTTTGACTCCAGTTAGAACAATTTTATTTTTCTAATAAAGTGATTAGTTAGCAGTAGTGAAGGAGAATTGATAATATCCTGAAAAATAAAGGGTGAACTTAATTTTTACTTTTCTCTTGGGGTGGGTGTATATGGAAAACTTTGGATGATCAAATGATACCTTGTTCACTACATATAGTGTTATAATATTAAAGTTTTTGAAAGGGCCTCCGCTGTCAAATGTGTGATGTTTAAGATTCCAGAGTAAATGCCCAGTCTTGTTTATCAGCCTAACTGTTAGCATTACAAATTATAAGCTTAATGATTTTTTCTAGTAATTTAGTAAGTAGTTTGATGGATCAGATGGCTTTATGTAATTTTGTTCTTTATTAAGTTTTTATTTAAGTTGCAAAAGTCTGAAAAGTTCCAGAATTCATTATTTGATATTTGTGGTATACCCTGTACTGATGAATTAAAAGAGGGATCATATCTGTACATTGTAACATATGTTTTAAGAGGTTAGACTGCAGCTTAAACTTTAGAAGTTAATTCTGGTCAAGTACAGACAGATATTTTGCTTCCTTTTTATTTTGTGAAAGAAAATCACTATTAAAAAACATCTTTGTTGAAAAACATAATTTTGTTTTGGTTTAAAATTGTAGATCTGCAAAGATGACAAGCAGAGATCCTTTACTAAAGAGTGATGAAGAGGAGGATTTGCTCTTTGAACAGAATGGACATCTTGCTAAAAGACATTCCACGAAACCTGATGTTATTTTAGTAGGACACTCTCGTGGAATTAAATTGCAGGTGGCAAGGACAATCAATCTATGTTTGTCCTTTTTTGGATTGGTAAGTTTTATATATACTTAATTTGTAGAGCAAGAAACCCCAGTTCACAAGTATTTGTGTACTTGTTGCAACTGGTGTGCCCGTTAACTGCTGTTAACAAGATATTTTTGAAAGACAAGTAACATTGTATCTATTCTGTGCTGTTATCAAACCATCTGCCTTAAATATTGTTATAAGTAGTGAATTCTATTGTTATAAGTATTCTACTCTTAAGTATTGTTAATAAGTAGTCTACTCTAAGTATTGTTAACTTGAAATTGAAGGAAGAAATTTTAACCATAATCCAGTCACTGTTAAGTGCAGAAAAATATAGATACTTTTAAATACACATGTCAAACAAACAAAAACTCTTAGCATTTAAAAAACTGGTTAACTTAGATAAGATTTTTGCATACTAGTCTGTCTTGATCTTTCTTTTGTAGCAATACAGATTAAAATAAAAATCTAGTTTATGTATAAAAATGTATAGTTAATGAGATTTTACTAGTGGGATCTGTACCTCATAAGCCCTTTAACCACTTATTTGCTTAACTGTTTATGCATCTAATTGCTTGAGATTTCATAACTATGTTGTTTAAAGGATCTTTAATAAAGTACAAGATACGCAAATAATCTAAACAAAAATGCCAGTAATTACAATCAATCCCACTAATCCTACTGGTGTTTTCTACACATTTTACATAGAAAATGATTGACCACCCAGTTTTTTTATCAGTTCAGTAGAATAAAGGAGAATAATTTGTCTTGTTGAAGGGTATTCTAAAGTAACTGAACCATCCTCTGTGTGCACTTTTGATGAAAAAGTGAATTATTTATAGATCTAGATTCACCTGTGATAACCTATAGTGTAAAGAATTTTTTTGTACATACATTTGACTTGTTTTGAATATATTATATTAAAATAAGTGGATTGTGTGTTGTCTGTTTATTGAAATGTATTGCCAACAAGTCACAGACTGTAAAGAATTGTGGCCCCTATAAAGACCTGAAATTGGTGAGCCAGCCAGGATTATACAGTAAACGGTGGTAAAAGAAGACATGAATGACAGCGGAAGTATGCCTGTACATGCACAGTTGTAATGTTGTAAAATAGTGTATAGATTACAATCACACTATATAACCATGTCAACTGATTCTCATAAATGGATAGAGAGAGGAGAGCGACTTGGGCTAAAAGATAGTGATCTACTAGAGTTTGTTGAACAAGAATTAAAGAGAGGCAGAGGAGAGAGGAAGAAAAACTGAAGAAAGAAAAGGAGAGACTGGAAATAGAGGAAGAGAGAATAAGAGCACAAATTGAGATAAGCAAACTCACCCAACAGAAACAGGAAGGACCCAAGAATGATGCCAGGCTGAAACTGCTGACTTCATAATGACTGCCATTCATTAATATTGATTGTTTAAAAAGAGGGAACAAGTATTAAAAACAAATTTTGAAAAAAAGTTAAGGATGACATAGGGATGACAATGCCAAAAAGTACAAAAACAAGGTAGATATGAATACCCGAAACCATACAAAAATCCCTACCTAAGTAGCCATTGAGTCAATGCTACAAGCTTATGGGAATTAGCCATTATAAGACTTTATAGCAGTATTCAGTTTAAATGATTTTATTCAAACTTGAATTCATGCAAATGACAGGAATTCAACATTTAGTTGTAGATAAAAGTTTTCTCTTGGAAAGATTTGGCTACTTTTGTATAGTTTTGTGTATTCATCTTGTTTCTGTACTTTTTTTGGCATTGCCATCCGTACATCATTATTATTTTATCAAACTTTTTTTTTTTAGTACTTGTAAATGCCGAGTTGTCCAATGCACTTTAAAAGACATATAGATCCTTGAACTCCTTATTACATCCTTAATGGCTTTAGTTAACAGTGTCTGTGCTTCATGTTGGGTGGTCCAGTGCTCTTTATGTGATTCGTAATGGCATTATTTGACAGTGTCTATGCTTCATGTTAGGTGGTTCAGCACTCTTTGTCATTCTTAATGGCATTATTTAACAGTTTCTGTTCTTCATGTTGGGTGGTCCAGTGCTCTTTGTGTCATTCTTAATGGCATTATTTAACAGTGTCTGTTACTATTGACAATGCAAAAAACCTGGGTTTTTGAATTCCATATACCATAGACTGTTTTTTTTTGGGGGGGGTGCTGAATGTCTATCATTTTATCTGTGTCAGTGATAATGTCTTGATTTAAGCCAGAACTGGTAAGATGGAGTGAATCTTGAGTGTGTTTGGACTAGCTTGTACTTTACTGCAAGCCTTTTTCTTTCTTCACTCAACTTTCAAATTACTAACTTGTTAACATGCTATTCACTACTTATTCAATGATATTGAGTCATTTTAAGTTTCTGACTGTTATACATTCAGTGTTAAGAACTGACTAACCATTGAGTGAAGTAACTAATTTTATATTTAGAATACTCAGTAAACACTATCAGTAAGTAACAGTATTCTTGTTTACATGATCTTGTGTAACTCCTATGTTAATAAGGACTTTTTAACTAACAAAGTGGTGGACCCCAAGCACTATAATTTAGAAAAGTGTGTTTAGGTTAAGAGTTATTATATTTGAAAATTTTTACAATTAATTGTAGACACACTGTATAGTACAATAAAGTGTAACAATGAGAGTGTATACCATTTCTTCGTGAAGTTGCATGTCTTGTTCTACTCATTATACTAGCAAGTACGTGCTTAAGTAACTTATGTTGAATACAAATTTTGTGTTCCTGAATTATTATTCTTTTCTAGGGACTGTGTTTTGCCATCCCTACTGCCACGTTAGAAGATTTGAGAAGATCTGTCCAGTCTGACAAAGATAGCATAGAATACATTTATACAGCTAGATATGGAGGCTACTTGGTTGGTTCAATTGCAGGTGAACAATCTTTCAGTGTACTAAACACTCAAAAATACTATTACATCTTTTATAGGTTAGATTCAGCCAATGCTGTGAATTGAATTAACATTTATTATCTCAAACAATATCTGGCCAATTAATGGAAAAGATGCTGCTTATAGAGATGGGTTTATTAGACTTGTTTGGAAGATCAAAGGTTAAAAAATGTTGGGATAGTTAATTTTTTGTTTGTTTTATAGCAAAACCACATTGGACTATCTGCTGTGTCCACTGTGGAGAATCAAAACCCAGATTTTAGAGACTTACTGCTTTCCCACTGGGGGACAAATTTAATGGGAAGAAATTAATATATGGCTAAGTGTGTGTTATTTGATTGGGTTAATGAAAATGTGATTTTCTCTTGCATGAATGAGAATATGCATAGTTTGTCAAATTATGTTTGACAAATGATTTTTATATTGAATTCTACAACAGCAGTACTGTTTTATTAAAAGCTGTCTCCAGCATCAGATACGTGAGACAGTATTTCATCCTGACCCTAGGAATTGTGCCTAAACAGATACAGTTTTTAGTATTATGTTAATATCATTAAATTGAAAACTGACTTTTGTTTAACCATAAAAGTAGTTCTCATAACAGAGAAAAATAGGATAGATTTAAATTAGTTGAAAGTGAGTAAATGGAGAAAATAACAAAATAAATGTTTCTGATAGTTTTATGTCAAACAAAGTGAAAAAAACAACATAAAATGAGGCTAGATACTTGAAATCTAAATTTCTTTTAAAAATTAAGAGAAAACAAATTTCTTTGACAATTGCTTCATTCTCTAGGAGGGATCTTGTTTGACAGATACAACAGGCAGTTTCTACTCTTCCTGAGTTTGCTTGCTACTGCTGTTGGTATTGTTGTAATGCCTTTCTGTGCCAAACTAGCAGCACTAATGACATGCACAGCAATTACTGGAATTACCATGGGATTTCTGGATACTGGTGAGTTATTAAATTATGGTTATTATTATTTCCAATATGGTATTTACCTCATCTCACAAGATTAGTTATTCTTGTTCAGGTGCTGTTCTCTATATTCAAATTTTTTCTTTATGCATGCCACAAGCCTTGCACTCCCCCCTTGTGGGAATTACTGTATTTCAACTACTATATTTATATTACTATATTTGTGGACCAATCCCAGTACATTCATTTCACACTATCTCCATCCTATCATGCCTTCCTCTGCATCAGGGTTTCGTCTATCACCTATGGCTATTCTCCAGACTTCAGTGTGACTTTAACTGGAAAGTTTTCTTCATTTTCTTTTTCAGAGGCTTTTTTCTCCCTTTTTACCACATGAATCCCACTCTGTGGTGAGTGGTGCCTGACCAGGTATTCTTTAACTCTAAATCCACACTGTCAGCCATGTTGACTCATGCTCTGTCATCCATGGCTTTACATGCTCACTGTCAAGATGGAGTGTTCCACAAGATTGCTTAATGGTTAATTACTTTGCTATAATTTACTTCATAAAAATCCCCATTCCGGACCATACCACCCATGGACTACATGGGTAAAGCAGAAGGGGATTGCTGCCCATCTCTGCCATGCCTCAATTCAATAACTCGTTATAGTCTACTTTTCAAAATAAGATTTCGTGATCACTCATTGCACTGTCTCCAGTGATGATGTTCCTCCTGGCTCTCCACTGTACTGTCACCCTCCTTTCCTCGAGTGAAGTATGGGAGTCCTGGCATAGAGGTTTTGGATTAGACTGAACCAATCAACATAAGTCCTCACACAAGTTCAGGTTGTCTATCTTCCTCCACCAATTTCTCTGTCTGTGTCTTTGGTCACAGCAGTAGTACCTGGGATTGTTTCAGTGCTATCCTAGACTCTCCATAGTTACCTTCTTACAGGGATGTTATTGTCTTTGATGGTGCCGGCTTGTGCCATGGTTGGGGGAGTTGATTCCATGCAGTAGACATCTTTTCAATACTGGATATCAATTCCTGGATCGATAGATCAGTGATAATCCTCATGACATACCCAGAAATTGGTGCGGGTTATAATCCCCGATTCATGGGTTTGAGGTGAAGATGGTATGATCCTCATCCTACTCTTGCGTGGATGTTGGAACTCTGTGAGGAGATTTTGGATTTAATTGACTTACCAAGTACAGTCCAGCATGCCCTAGCCACTCTACACCTCCCAATTTCTGCCCTTGTGCATTAAACAATCTACACATGGGCAAAGAGTATACCTGGCTTAGAAGTAGTGCAGTTCCCCTCTTCTGATCTTTGGATCTATATCTCTCATGGTCAGGGGTATCCTTCAACGCTTTTGGGGGTACTTCTTTCATTCCCTTGCACTGGTTCCTCCTTCTCAATGTGGGATTTTAGCTAATCTTGTGAGAGGAGCTAAGTACTGTATTGCAAGTTATAATTTTCCTCTACTGAAACCGTATTTTTGATATGTACTTACCTCTTCTCACCCTTTCTCCCCACTCCTCCGGCGCTCACACCTTCTGCCAAACTTCGAAGTGAAGGTCAGGTAGAGGAGTGTAGAGGGAGTCACCTGCATCACTTGGCCATTTCATGCTACTATTCATTAAGAGATGACACATGACTATTTGCATGAAAGAAATGTTGGAATATAGTAATTCCAACGAAGGGGGGGGGGGGGGTGGCACGAAGCTTTTGAGATTCATAAAGAAAAAGTTCACATATAGAGGCAGCACTGAACGAGAAGAGCTAATCTTGTGAGGAGTAAGTACTTTTCAGAAATACATTTTCAGTATAGGAAAATTATAACTTTTTAAAATATTTTTTACATAAACTTAATTTGTTGTTATTGAATTTACATTTTTTTGTTACTTACATAAAATTAATTAGTGCCATTAAATAGATTTACACTTCTGATATTTTATGTCCTATTTCACGATAAAGAGGTATTGACCAAAGACAGACAGACATATCGTACAAAACAACCAGCAGAATAATGAACTTGTTTTCACATATAATATTTTTGAATTATAAAAATATAGTATACTAGGTTTTTTTTGACAAACTTTCTGTATTGTTTGAACTTCTAGGATTTTATTCTCATAAGTTTGAATGGAATTTGTGTCATAGTACAACGTAGCTACGAGGATGTTATTCCGAAGCACTTACGTGTTAACTTTCTCTCAATATAACAAAGATTACTTCTAGTTATTTTCCTGCTGCAGTTAGCATTTTTTCAAAGCTATAATGTTTTATCTTAGAAAGATGTAAACAATGTTCTTTTGTGCCTGTAATGATTTTATCTCCCTTAATTTAGGTAATTTATAAATTTGTAGTGTATGACTAATATAATTTTTCTACATTCTTGCAAATATATGATATATAGACACTTATAATGATAATTTGTGACATGATTTTATCTCCCTTAAACCATGAAAGTATCCATGAGAGTAATTATACTATGATTTTTTATAATGTATGTACATCTTTACAAAATTTTGCAGGTTATTGGGAAACATTACAAGGTTTTTGTACACAAAATATTGGGTTTTTTAATTAAGAATTAAGATTTTTTAATTAAAGATTTTTTTGTAAACCTTTTTCTTTCAGAATGTTGACTATCCAACATACAAAGCAATTTTGATTTTAAGATAAAAAAATACTTTAATGCATTAAAACATTTTCAAATTTCACATGCAAAATCTTTATAATCTCCAGATAATTATCAAATTTTTTTGTAGAAAAACTTATTTGTTATTTTCACAACTGTATTTCTGTATGGGTTGGTTCAATATGACTGACTTCGTAACCGCAATAAAGAATTAGGCAAAAAATATTAATTATGCTTTTTTTGGTTCTAGAATGACTACAAATTATAACACGAAAACTCAAATTTTTAGTCTAACTAGCTTAAATCTCATAATGTTATATATTTATTATTTTTATTACATTGACTTACCAGCGTGCCTGGCTAACAATACAAATTAACCTTAAACCTAGCTGTTTTAAGAAGAAAATTAACTGAAAATAGTGAAATGGGAAATGAAACAAAATATCTGAGGTTTTAGTGAATTTTGACTTAACTAGGGACTGACAATTAAATGGAAGTCACTTGAAGTTAGATAAAAACTTACATTGTTGATCTTTACTTTAGTAATGTGTTTGATTTTGACATTTTTTAGCTTTGATAATTTTTCTTCATAGGTGGAAATGTGTGGTGTCTTGACTTATGGGGCAAGAAAAGTGCTCCTATCATGCAAGCCCTTCATTTCTGTTTTGGTCTAGGAGCATTTATTGCCCCTCTAGTTGCAGAACCTTTCCTGTCTCCCCATGTTACTCATTCAGCAGTATCAGTATCAGAAAATGGTTCTAACATCACTAATAGCAGACTAAACATGGCTTCATTAAATTTTGCTCATGGTCCAGTATCAGGAAGGAATAATGTGCGTCATTTATTGGGTATATCTCTTGGTGAACAAGTAGAGCTTCGTGCACCTGTTTTTCGAATACAGCCAGATCAAAATTACACAGACTTGAGCGCATTTCATAATTTAATAAGGATAAAGAATCTCGTATCTCCATATAATCAGAATCTGGGAAGTCCATTCATTACTCAAAAAAAACCTGAAATTTACTCTCTGCAAAAAAGAGATACTGATGTAAATGCAACCTCAATGAAACATAATAGTACAACAAAAGTTAATGGTTTGAATGAATCTATAACTATTGAAAGAAATGGTGAACAGTTTAATATTAAAGATTATGAGGATAGTGCAATCAGTAATGTTTCAAAGACAAAAGATAGTGAAATATCAAACAATACTTTCAAAGAAAACAATGAAACAATACTTTTGAGCTCTGGAAAAGAAGAAACTGTTACAACTTCATCACAGAGTTTACACAAACCCAAACCATCTGTAACTGGTGCTAAGGTTCCTGTTGATGAAAGTCCATGGAATAGAAAACGTTTGAAATCACCTAATTTTCCTGAAAAGTCTATGAGTAATGAAAAAAGAACTGAAGATGTTTTAAATGGTGAAGCAAATAACGCTACAGAATTCAGTGAAGCTATTCATGCAACTGATGTAACTATAGTTAATGAAACTGAAAATAAAGTAATGCGACCACGTGATGAAGAAAGTGGTAGTGAAAATGATAGAACAATAATCGTTGGTTCAAGTGCAGAGTCACTTTATCAAGAGTTGACCACGACTATTCCCTCTTCCATAAGTAAGGCATCTGATTTACAACTTACATTAGAGAATGTTACACACTTCCCTGATCTAGTTAAAGCCACATCAGAAGAATCTGAAGGAACTTCTTTTCCAATTGAAAAAGAAAATATCAAACATTATATAAACAAACTACAAAAAGCATCAGGAAATATCACTAATCCAGATACAGGGCATGATCAAATTTCAGCCATAACTACAAAACCTCCAAAAAATGACTTCAATTCTAATAAGTATAAACTTACCAATGTGTCTTCAGAAGAAGTGACAGGTGAGGATACATCTTTGATTAGAGATGTGCTTGATGTAGGTTCAACTGTAAAGCAGCTTCAAACTATGAACAAAAGTGGCAGTATGGAGAATTTGTTACCTCAAACTCCAAAAAATGATGTTTTGGCAGAATCATTAGAAACATCGAGTATTTCTAAAACATTGAACTCAGAAGTTGAGCGTACCTCAACTGGGTCAGTTGTTTCAGAAACTTCAATGGAAACAACCAAAGACAAAGTTGATGTTACTCTGCCAGCAGCATTAGAAGTTGAGCATACCTCAGCTGGGTCAGTTGTTTCAGAAACTTCAAGAGAAAAAACCAAAGAAAAATTTAGTGTTGGATTATCACCAGTATTAGACGATGGAATTTCCTCACCAGAATTGGGTAGTTCAGAAGGCCAAAAATCAAATATGGAAAACACGTCCAATTCAGTTCTTGTTTATAATACTAGCAACACCAAAGATGAACACAAAGGAGACATAATTAGTTACTTATTCAAGTTAATGCATAAAAACCGGTTGGGAAAGTTTGAATTTGCTTATGCAATCTTAAGCATTTATGTATTGATTGTGGCAGTTGTTTTTCTCGTCTTTTTGTGTCTGAATCCCCGAGAACCTCGCTCTAGACAAGAAGAAGAGTTAGATAAATCTCATCATGTGAGTAAAGTATTTATTATTTCAGTTGTTGGTCTTCTGTCTGTCTTCTTATGCTTGTATGTTGGTATTCAGGTGGCAGTAGGACAGCTACTTCAGAGATTTGCCATTAAGGAAGAACTACAGCTTTCTAAGTACCGTGGATCATTTCTAACTTATCTGTACTGGGGAAGCTTTGCTCTTGCAAGAGGTGTCTCAATCGGTATTGCTGCAAGAGTAAAAACTTTACACATGCTGTTTGGAGACTTAATTGTGTGTTTAGTGGCCTCTGTTCTTCTAGTTGCTGGAGCAAACAAGTTGGAAGCATTACTATGGGTGGGGATAGTGGTTCTTGGGCTTGGTATGGCTTCTGTTCTACCAGCAGCTATCTCTTGGGTAGAACGATATATCCACGTAACTAACAAGATGGCAGCAACCTTTATCCTTGGAGCAGCTTTAGGAGAGATGGTAATTCCCTTGGGGATTAACAGGTTCATCTCGGAAGAGCCGATGGTACTCATGTATGTAAATGTGGTTGTCATTGGTCTTTGTTTCCTCACTTTCCTCATTTTGTGGTTCTTAGCATCACGTGCAGGAGAGAAGTACAGATGCATTCCTTCAAAAATTGGATATCAATTAGCTAGTGCAGAGGAAGCAGATGATACAATGGAAATGTCACCCACAAATTCACACTGGCAAAACAGCTATAACTCTCGTATTCTTTTCAAAAGAAACAAAGGTTTCATGACATTGCCAAAATATGAATCTTTTTAAACCATGCATGTCAGCACTAGAACAAAATATTGTAAGCTTTTTTTTTCACCTATTTAATGGCCAAATAATTTATATAACAGAATATTGTTTTGTGTAATTGTTACCATCTGTATGTTTTTTATTTTGTTTTGCTTAGTTTTAAATATTTATAGCAACTGTCAGTTTTTATATTTTAGAAGTTGACAAAGCAGCGAACCTTATGACCATTATATATGCTGTAATTTTTCTTAATGAGTAACAAGTTTTAAACAAATAAATTGTTATGAGTTGCTAATTAAGTAAATACAGTAATTTGAGTACACTTACTTGCTGTTAAATTTTCTGCTGTTTAATTTACAAGGCAAATATTAATGTGCATGATAACAAATTTTGTATTAAATCATAATTTACTATAAAACATGGAAAAAAATTTGAATAAGCTATATAAAGTATAATTAAAGAATTTGTGGTTTAATTTTTTCCAATACTTATCGTAGGGAAATTCAAACATTAATTGGTAGCTTCTAGTCTTTGAAAGTGTTTGTAAGTAATGCATGAAAAAGATACATAGATTCTCACATTGGTCAGTTAAAGGTGTTCAACATGGATTTATTAATGTTTTTTTCCTTGCTATAACTAATATTTAGGTGTTTTAGAAACGTCAGTGTAATTTTCAAACAATCATATCTCAGTGTTTTGGTTATAATACAATAGTATTTTATTTATAAATCATCCTGAAAAAGAAATGTATTTCTTTTAAATACATAATTATTTGTAAGTTTACAGTTTTTATTGTGTATTCATTAAGTGATCTGTGAAGTAAGTTATTTTCAAACTTGTACCTGTGGCATTGTGATTGACTAATATAGAATACATTTCATGTTACTTCCATGTGACTTTCATATTTCCACTATCCTTGTATTGTAAAAAATGTATGTAAAACACAGTAGCTTTGAATTGTACAAATAGAGTTGAAAATAACAAAATTGGTTATATTGTTCACATATGGTTGTTCAAATGTTCTTACTTGTAGAAGTAGATAAGAATTGTGACCTATTTTCAATGAACTGTATGTTTTAGCTTGGATGGATACTTAAAAATGTGAAACATTAGTTAGTTTTATATATACATTATGTATTAAAAAAATGTACATCTAATTGATTGTGTTCTATTTTAGGCCAGGAATTGTGGTGTATAAATGTTCTAAGATATCTGAAGTGTTCTAAGTTACATTATCTGGTTATAAAAAGACTAAATTTTTATAACAAGAATGTCAACAAATTTACAGCTCTTTTCTCATTTTATATTCCAGATACTAGTAAAATATTGTAAAATACAAAATGTACTAAATTAATAAAGAAAGTTTTGTGTGATATCTTTAAGTAAAATGACTTTCATAAACCTGTTTCCAAACTTTTATCTCTAGGTAGTTTTGAATGTATTATATCAAAATACTAGGTGTTTCAAAAGTCACTAATGCTGTTCATTTTATCATGCCTAGGAAACCGTTGGATACAATGTTGTGTAAGACAGTATACACAGTTGTGTTATGATGATATCAAGGTCACAATAAATTGTACTATGGATATAAAATTCATCATCCAAAATTATATTCAAGTAGGACAAGTGTGCAAATGTGTACATGGTTCTTGGGCTGTATGCTGAATTTCACAACGTTGTGTGCATTGGTTTCTTGGATACAGTTGCCTGAACAACAGAAGGTATTTTGAAACACCCAGTACTTTAAATAGAGCTTAAAATGTATTTATTCAGTGACAACTGTATATTTAACACTTAACTTCAAGTACATCCACTATGTGATGAAATACGAAAATACAGTTTATTTTTAAATCTGTAAGAGAATAACTGTAAACTTTTAGACCATTAAATATTTATTCAAATACATTAAAGTAATTTTGTCAAAAGAATGAGGAACTTTTTCTTAACTTTTTTTCAATCAGTTTTCCACTGTCATATTCATAAAGTTTAAAATATTTGTACTTAAAAGTAGGGGAGAAAATCAACTACCATCATAAATTTAGTTTGAAAACAAGATAATTTTTTTTTAACTGCTGGCTTAAAAAACATAATAATATTCTATAGTAACCTGGAAATGTTTTGATGTTAAAAATTTAAGAAATTTATATAAAGTATATATTCAAATTTCAGTTGAAATTTAAAGGTTGAAAATGAGCTATCAAATGATTTCAAACTTGCGTGTCTTGTTAATATACATTATTTTGGTAAAGTTCCTACATTTTGAAGGGAAGGCCTTGATTTTTGTAACAGTATCTGAAGGACAAATGTTTAATTGGAATATTATATGTGAAACTACAAGAAAGAAGACATTGTGAAACATCCAGTACAAGTTTTTCTTGAAGCATATGATGTCAAAACTTTTATGTACACTTTTTTTTTTATGTACACTTATAGAATGTGTTCTAGATAACAGATAACCAAATGTGTACAAGACTACTGATTGTCATGATTTATGCAAGGACAATATTGTAAGTGAAGTATTTATTAATCTTACAGGTGTGATTGTCCAAAAATATCAATCACTTCTAGATGTTCATATATAAAACATACTAAATAGAAAATATTGTTTGAAAATCACCTGGTACGTTTATTAATTTTTTCGCAGAAAACCTTCAGCATATTAGTGACACACCTACCTTGTAGTGCAGGAAGATTTAGATGTATTACAGTAAAAACTTCCCCCATTGTTTTTTACTTTATTAGAAACTGGTAGGTTCTTGTATAAAAGTAATTAGTTACATTGTTCATAGAAATAATACAAGTGTTCTAAAAACAATTTCCAAAAATTACATACTGATGAATTACTTCATTTAAAAAACAACAATATAGAATTTTTATTGAAAGTTATCATTATTTCTATGGACAATTTTCAGGTAATATTTGTTAACCTTTTGTATTTAACATTTGTATGCTGGCTCAGATAGTTTTATTTCTGTACATGTTGTGCAATGTAATTATGAAATGTAGTTATCTCAGCAATAAATAACTTGAAAATTCTGCCCTCAGTGAGCAATATATATATATATATATTCCCCAACCCACTTTATTTTCTTGTTTTTGTGACTTGTATACTTGTAATGACAAATTAAAGATACTATATGCTCACAGTGAAAAACGTCAATATTGTTTAACCATAAAAAAATTCAATATTGATCTAAGAAATCAGAATCAGTAAGTTAGGTTTAAGATGCAGTCATCTGATTTATGAATGCAGAAAGATTTGAAACTCATTTTCTTATTTTAATAACAGATTTTGTATTTAGACTGTTTCATGATTTTATGAATGTGTAAATTAAATATAATTTTGCTATAATTGCTAAAATATTTCTTTAAAGAGTTGGGCAAACTATATGTAATGAAAGTTAGATGGTAATGAAAGGTGAATTGAACACAGTAGTATATGCATGTCTTGTGGATGTATTATACATTGTTTTCCAGTTGTAACAATTCAGACTTTGTTTGTTTGTTTATTTAAATATTATATCTTAATGTATAAAACAGTTTTCATTTAACAACTAGTTTAAAGTACACAATATCATGATTTCACCATCTCATTATTTTATGTTATTGCATTGTAAGTTTCCAATAAAGTCTGTTAGTGAAATTATTTTGACTTTGTGTCTTTTGGAGAGAGTGGAGTAGAGGACTTACCTGTAAGTAAACGGTTGTTGTTATGTGGAAGATTTTACAACAGCATACTTTTAAATACAAGTGTTCCTAAGCTAAGTGTTGGTTATATAAGACTGTTCAGTTTAAGAGTTATTATTTAGTGATCATTTAGTTTCATAATAAAAGTGTTAAAAGCTATATATTTTAAAAGTGTATAAATCACACGTTGTGTATATAGTTTAGTTGTTGTACTAAGTTTTTGTAATATTTTTGATTTCATCTTACTTGAAGCTTCTAAGTCTTTTTCATTATGCTTAATGCTGTTACTAGAAGGCTAGATATTTTTAGATTTTTCTGTTGTGTGTAATAAATACATGCAGATACAGAGATTAAGTTAGTGAAAGTAAAAATTAAGTTAGACTGTGATTGTCAGTTTAGCCATAACAGGCGATTGCTAAAGTGAAAGTTTCACAGTTTGTATTGTAGAAACAGAGATAGGGAAGAATAATTTGTCTTCTCAATTGGGTTCTAAAGTAACTGAACCAGCTTCTGTGGACTTTTGACAAAAAAGTGAATTATTTATAAAGATATAGGTTTAACTGTGATAACCCATAATGTAAACAATTTTTTGTACATACTCTTGACTTGTTTTGAATATATTATATTAAAACAAGTGGATTGTGTGTTGTCTGTTTATTGTTGAATTATATTGCCAACAAATCACAGACACCAACTGCAAAGAATTGCAGCCCCTAATATACCTGACATTGGAACCCAGCCTGAATTATACACTGGTGAATGGAGGTAAAAGAAGATGTGAATAACAGTAGAAGTGGACCTATATATGCACAACTGTTGTGATGACGAAAATAATGCACAGATTACAATTATGCTATATAACCATGTCAACTGATTCTGATAAATAGATAGAGAGAGGTGAGCAACATGGGCCAAAAGATAGTGAACTACTAGTTTGTTAAACAAGAATTAGAGAAGAACATAGGCAAAGAAGAGAGGAAGAAAAACTGAAAGAAGAAAAGGAGATATTGGAAATATAGAGAATAAGAGCAAATTGAGATCACCAAGCTCACCCAACAAAGAAATGAAGGACCCAAAAATTACATTAGAATCAAGGCCAGTCGATCTAAGCTGCTCAAATTTGATGAACAGAAAGACGATATGGGTGCTTTCTTCGAGAGGTATGAAAGATTTACCCAAAGTCAGAACTTGGACAAAGGCAACTTGGCAGCCTGTCTCAGTCCACTTCTCACAGGAAAAGACCTACAAGTGTATGCGGGCATGATTTATCTGATGCTAGATTGGTTCTCACTACTTCACCCAGTGTCTTGTAGCACTTTCGCTTTCTTGTCCCCGACATAGCCTTCATCTACAGTTGGTCCCTTTGCGAACTTGAACTGACCATAAATCATGCACTGTTTAATCAGAGATAGCACTTCCTTCTTGTGGTAAATCTGACGTGTTTCCTTGATTCTGTTTCTTCTGGCAGCAGCATACACAGTGATAGTAACATTTTTCTTGTTTCTTGCCAGCACTATCTTTGTAAGTAGCTCCAGCTGCTTTATGTTGTTGCTTGTGGGTGATGGACTTGCACTCTCTTGCAATGTGCCCCATTTTATAACAAGCATAGTATCTCTTTTCCCTTTTGTCTGTTAAGTTTTTGTCATATTTAGTAGACTCCTCCTTATGGTCAGCCACCCTTGGTTTCAACTTTAACTGGTTATACTTGGACTTGCCAGTTACACTGCCTCCATGGGCTTCCACAAACTAATCTGCCAGCTTGACCATCTCATCTACATCTTTTAGTGCTCTCTTCTTTAAGAATAGTGATATGTCAGTTGAACTTGTGATCATGAACTGTTCACATATTAGTAGATCTGCCCTCAAAACTAGTTTCACACTTGGCCATGTCAGTCCACCTTGTGAAGTATTGCCATAGTCGTACCACAAAGTGAAATACAGTTTTTCCAGTGTCAATTTGATTTATCTGGATATCTGGGGAAAACCTTCCTCGGGAAGTTCATAGTATTTCAGCAAGGCTACTTTTAACATGTCATAGTCCATGGCATCTTCTGACTGAGCAAGGTATGTCTGTGTATGCTGATTGATAGGAGAGGGAGAAAGTTTCCCGTAGCAAGAATAAAGTTGGACACTCCATACTATGTGGGAGACCTTGAGGTCACGTGTATAAAAGCACCAATCTGTGACTTGGTGATTGGAAATATACCAGAAGTAGAAGTTTGGAGGAACCAGACAGGAAAGAGACTGATGAGGCATGTGCAGTCACCACTAGAGTTCAAGGAAAGAAGAGCAAGCAAGACATTAAACTCCTGCATGTCTTGAAAGGTGACATCCCGAATGTAGGTCTATGGGAACTAGCAGAAGTGCAGAAGAAAGACCCTTCACTGCAAAATCTCCAGGACAGTACCCGAGAGAAAGTCGAGCACAAGACAAAAAGGAAGGAGACTTACAAAATAGAGAATCAGAACTAGGTACTGTACCAGATTTATCGGAGCAGTTCTAGTGGAGAAGCTAAACCCATCAAAGGCAGTCAGAAGCACTTCTATGACAAGAAAGCCACCTAAGGATCGAGGTCGGACAGAAGGTCTTAGTTATGCTACCCACAGCCAACAACAGGAAGTTCTCAACAGAATGTATCATAAAGTAAAAGTGGATGGGAAGACCAAGATCTACCACGCCAGTATGTTGAAGAGGTACTTTGAGTGGAATAAAGACCTAATGGGTGCAGCTACTGAGGCACAGATGGACATGGCAGTTGTAACTGTCATAGAAGCAGAACCTGAAGATAGTTTATATACACTGAGTGGTCACAAGTAAATAGACGCCTAATTTTTCGTCATATAACTGATTTATGCTAACTGATTTGTGTTCACAGAGCACTATATAAATGAAAATGGTCCACACACTAATTATCTTGTGCTACAACATGCCGAGAACTCAAGGTTCTCTCGAATTGTCAGATTTTGTTAGAGGAAGGATCAGATGGTGGAATAAGTTAGCGGCAAATTTTGCAGAATTTGGGAATCCCGCTTTCAACAGTTAACAGAATCATCGTGCAGATCAGGAAACACGGCAAGGAAACAATTGAGCAGCGTCTGGGT